GTACCTCTACTCAAGTCTACTTTTTTAATACTACTTAATACAACTACTTTAGAAACCCAAGCATAATACAAAATTCATGTAAAAATTGTGTTTTATAAAGTACCAGAGTAGTCTGTTGATTTGCTAATTTTCTTTTCACCTTTTATTACTGTAAGCATATTCTGAACTGAGAACCTTACTGACTGTAAACTGCAGAGAACGCCTTCTTGGATGAATATTTTTAGGTATACCAATATAACTGAAGGCTCAATGTGTAAGTTTTAGTGGCATCTAGTGGTGATGGTTACAAATCGCAACCATCCGCTCATGGTGCATTCACATGCTCCTCCTGGTCCCATTTCCCGAGTTGTGAAGCTGTTCTTCCTCCTTCAGTGTTTGTTCATGTGCTCTTAAGAAGCATTATCAGAGCGTATAAACTACATGCAGACATCTAGGTCACTCTACATGGCCTGCAAACTAACTGTTATAACCATATTACAAAATTACATGTTTGCAAAATATGTATATGCAATACGTGATTTTGCTCTATATTCTTCTTTATGTCCCATGTACACTTTATTTCTTTTTTTGCTATAAAGATTTAAGGAGGAAAAAGAGATTCTGCTTATTTTGACAACAAATTAATGCACCGCTCAGCCCTCCCTTTCCCTTTATGGTGGTCGACACGCTCTGTCGGCTCTTGTGCTAAATAATATGTGTGGTCCTCCATTTGTTTGAAATTCTCTTCTTTTCTCATTTCTAATAAACGAGTTGACTACTACTAGTGCTACAATGACTTCTTCTTCTTCATCTTCATCATCAGCAGCATATGTATTCAAGCTAGTGACAAAACGTTTGTCCATTTGGGCTACTGTAGAAACATCTTCCATGAAAGGGGACGGTTCATTGAGCAAAGTCTTTACACACCACTGAAAACATTTCCGTCAATAGATCCTCCAACATATTACAAACTGAACCTTTAGGTAGGTAGATAGTATTATCTGATTCTAACTTATTTTCTCAGCACTGTCAGAAGCCCCTTAGAGTTTGGAATATTTTTACCAAGCTGTCCTTGTTGGACCTGCAGTAGTTTCCTGTAACGTTTGGTTAAAAGTGTCATCTTGGTGTGGGAACATGTGAACTGGGTGAAAAACAGTTTGAACTGCTCTTTTCAAAAAGTATAAACTTAACACTCTGGATTCCTAATTAACTGAGTAAAAAACATTGGTCAGTCTTTTCTCTAATACCAGTGCATATACTCATGAACACACGCTCACTGATATCCTCTCTCTCTTTCTCACACTTTCCTCGGCTCAAATAACCATAGCTCATCAGGGCCCAAAGGGGGATCCATTTTTTCAGCGTTGCCATGACAATTGAACGAGGAGGGGGTGTTTAGTTTGACTGGTGCAGTCACCTTGATGAATGACCCTCTTATTGCCGCCCGTCTCCCAGGGAATACTGTACACACACTCCGTCTCTCTCTCTCTCCCACACACAGACACACACCACTAACTCGCTCTCCCCCAGTGGCTAGCTGTCCAGCTGACACACACACACACACACACACACACACACAGATCACTTTACATGCTAATTGGGCGACAAGCCCTTTAACAAATAGCTGTTTAATGAGTTACTCCTCTCCACTGCAGGGCAAGGCCTGTCTGAGTCTACAGGGTGGTAGACTGCCAGCGCTCTGGGAGGAGGAAACAGTTTATAGGTCAAAAGGCCACACTGGCTACATGCACAGAGTAACCGGTCATTGGTCATTCTCTGGTTTAGGTCTTGTTCAATTTAAAAGGGTCATTTCACACAAATCATAAAAAAATATTTCCCATTCCAATTCAAAACAAAAAATATTGTAGAATAGATTTTATAACCTCGAAAACCTAATAATACCTGAATGGCTAGATACCGCAGACTTGATAGGATTTTTTTGTCATTTGTGTAAATAGACCCTTCAAGATAGTTGTAAAAATAGTTGTTTCATCTGAAAACATTGATTTATTTATGAAAAAAAAAAAAAAAAAAAAAGGTGTGACATTTAGGGCAGTGTTTGAAAAAGAATCAAACTTTCCATCCAGATCAATATGAATTTCAATTCTGTTCGTCAAGTACAGATAGGATGTGTTTCGCCCAGCTTAGGACAGACTAGCAGCAGGTAGGAACTGTCACTCTAGCTCACCTAAAGTTTTCATGCACCTATAGCTAACCTTTGTGCCAATTTATTAAAATAGCTATTCAACTGTATTTGGGTTTTTTTATTTGAGAACTTGCGCAACCGATACAGAATGTACTGCAGTAGTTACTGAAGTAAAACTCAAAATGGACCAACCTAACCACTTACACATGTGATCCTTTGATAATGCAAACACATACGTGCTTCAGTTTGGTCACTGTGGAAATTTATCTGATCACAGTGCACACAGTGAACACATTTAATACTAAACGTTGAATCACAAGTCAATATTGGTTTGTGATTTTTAACAACATGTGTGATGTGCGGAGATTGAACAGGAGGGGCAAGTGTCCAACTTCCAGGATCATGACTGTCAACAACCGTGGTGTCTTAACGGTTACAGTTGTCAAACTAGTCGAGAGAAAGCACGCAAAGCTTTCTATTTGGGCCTCGAAAGATGTCTCGAACGCAGAATCAAAAGTTTTTTGAGATAACACGACAAACACTCATTTTTGCCCGTGGGTCTGATCCTAAGCTACCTCAAACGTTACGAAACAGTTTTAACTTTCACAGCACCTTTCTGCTCTACTAAATAAAACTGTTGCCACATTTATGTCAGCAAGTGACAATAGCTTTTTTTTTCAGTTTCTCCACTCTGTCAGCTACTGTTACTTTGTAGAGCAAGAAAACCTTTAGCAGAGGAACAGTTACCATCTCAGGATTGCAAGAAGACGAACGAGCAAGTGGGTCTACAGGCTCAGAGTTTTTTCCATGCCATATCTCTTTGACCAGGAGACCCAGGCCCTCATACCCGATCATAAAGCGATCGGCCTCAGAGGGGAAAACATCCTCCACGCTACAGTAAACCAGAGAGGAGGAAGGATAATGTATCTCTGCTGGCACCCCTGACAATCATCAATTATTCACACACAGGCACTCTAGAACCTGAAATAAACACACACACTTACAATGTACAAACACATGTATGTTCAGTCTGCACTGCGAGCGCTTACAGTACAAACACTTAAAGAGGTAGAGATAAAGTGTTTCCTTATTTATATACAAACAGTCCACACTGTAATATTCTTGAGGTTTGTTTTAGGTTAGAAGATTAGAGGCTCTAAAGATAAATCTCCTGTACAAGGTTCTAATATATCAGTGACATGCCTTTTTTTGGGTGCATCTTCCTTTTTTGTTGTAAATAACTGGCAAAAAGGTAGAAAATGGAGCTGCCAGCACAACTAGATATTTCAATTAGCTACAATTTTTACAGCAGTGGCAGACCATTAGAGTCAAATAGCGAGGTCTAATTTCTAGAGACGCTAATTTGCACCACCATTCAGCAATCACACAAGAAGAAATGCTCTGCAGAACAGGCACAGACTAACTGAGACTCCAGCCGTAGTATCAGCAGACCAGAAGACAGTGCAGCAACATCACATTAGGCTTTTTGAGACAAGAGGTATGACCATCACCATTTTTTTTAATGGAAAATTTGGTTTGTTCATGCTGCCTCTCTGGCTGTCACAGACACTCTTGGAAACATAGGAAACCACCAGCTGAACCAGAAATAGCCAAAGTAGCTTGGAAACAGCTGATACATGTGCTAATATGATCAAAGTGCTAGTTTCAGCATGTGATTCAGTGACAAGATGTATGATTCCTGGAAGTTTCATCAAAATTAGATCAGTAGGGCAGCAATTTACTTAGAAACATTCACTTTAATTACAATAACATGTGTCATTCCTTAAACTGGCATGAAATTTAGATCTGCATTATCTGAGAATAGAGTAAATGGTAGTTAGTGAACTTAATATTTTCACTTAAAGTGATGCCATCACAACACACTGGAGCACAGTGTAAAGACAAATCCGTCATTTTCAGTGATGGCTTGGGTGTCCCTTTCAGTAATATTCTTAACTATGTGTACAGCAAAAAAAATATGAATTTAAAAATTCTGTTAAGCTGTGTAGTCAGGTATATCAGGAGCACACTTTGTTATCCCAATTTTACTTTCAAAATATACTTATCTTGCAGTAAGAGAAGCAATTTAAGAGGAACAACACACACACACACACACACACACACACATTAAATGAGATTATATTAAACTTCTCTCTTAAACTGGACTTGTGCAGTTATGCTGTAAGAGATAAGATGAAAGAAGATACAGAGAAGAATGGAATAAAAAAAGAGATGGAGAGAAGAAAAGGTGATGAGGAATTTCTACAGTGCATGACTAATGTGAGGCATGGAAAGATGGGAGATTGCAGAAATATTAAACATGTATTTGCAACAGTAAAAAATTACAGGAAAGAGAAATGATGCCGCAGACCAGCACTCTAATTAGTAGGAGTCAAGTGGAGAGTCAAAGTGTGTATGTGTGCGTGCATGCTTGTGTGTGACAATAGGTTAAACAGACTAGAGCTGGAAGGAACACGAGAGACACTGCAACAAACCAGGAATGACACATAAAGTGTGTGCACACAAAAACATAATTGACCACAGGGTGAGTCACACATATCAGTTCCCTCTCGGTCTGTCACACACTATAAGTTTTACACACATCCATCTTCCACAGACAAACACAGATATTTGCATGTTTGATTGTACTTGTGAGGATCTTCACACCCTAACCTATGAACTAAACCAAAGACATGGTCTTGATAAACCCAGTTGCTTCTTGCTCGTTTAAGTGAGGATCAGCACTGTGTCATCACCCTGAAGGATTCCCTTCAGCTACCGATCTGTGATCATTTGGTCCTCAGAAGTATAGAAAAATGTGAACACACACACACACACACACACACACACACACACACAGTGTATGACTACTCACAGCCTCTCAGTCCCTCTGGGGATGTTTTTGGGTATAGAGTGGATCCCCAGGCCATGGCAGTCCACTGTGTTTCCCAGGCAGCTGCAGGGAGAGGGGCACGCCTCCACACCTCCCCGACCTGCCACCAGCACCAAGATGCCCCACGCCAGCATCATCCGCAGTCCAGAGTGAAAAAACTGTCCCGGGGCCGCTGTCACTGCTGCCATCCCACAGCCTACTGACCCAGCTCCATCCCCGCTTCTCCCAGCAGGCATCTTGCTCTCCTGCGGCACTCCACCACACTGCAGGAACAAGCCGACAGATCCTATCCCTCCTTTCTTTCTGGGATGACTGACCACCACCAGTAGCAGTACAACCTCTTCTAAATGCTGTAGTATGAAAGTGCAGTGAGTAAACTGCTTGAAGAAGCTGAGACAGACAGCCAGGTGAAGTTCAGCTTGGACTGAACAGCTGCCACTTGATTCCAAAGTGGCCTTTCAGAGAGAGAAAGAGAGAAGGGAAAAAAAGATAAGTATGTCCTCTTCTTCTTGCCACTGGCTTTAGAGCTCCCTCCAATTGGCTTCTCTTCTTCTACTCTCCTGTGTGTTCTCTACTCTCTCTCTCCCCCTCTCTCTCCCGCAGCCGTACAGTGTGTTTGCCTCTCCCCTCCACTTTTCATTGAGTCATTGTGCACTGAACAGTGAGCCACTAGAAAAAAAGAAAGGGGGGGACTCCCTCACTCCCTCTATCTCTCACACACAGAGCAATCAAAAGCCTTTACAAATAACAGCACAGAGACTCCTCCCATGCCGCTACCCCCCCACACCCTCCAGTCACACACATACATGTACATGCACACACATACACAGAGTCACAGTAGCACCCAGAGTGAACTCACATCTATTCAGTGACAGCAGTATTAGAAAGCCACCTCCAGTGACAGCAGCCCTTTTCTCTCTCTCTCTCTCTTCCCCTCTCCCTCTTTCTGTCTATCTCTCTCGCCCACATGCGCTCTCCTCCCTTGGGGAAGAAAAGAGCCCAAGGCTGCAGGGACATGATGAGAAGAGAGAGAGGAAGGGGAGGAAATTGTGATCACACTGAACCATCCGACCAGAAAGCTCCAGCAAAAAATGAGGACAGAAAAGGAGTAATTTGTGTGGAGTTAAAATTTGTAAATTTAAAATACAAAAAAGCAGAGAGGGACTTCTGCTGTGTTAAATGTGATCATATTTTTTGCTACAGCTCAGTGCCAAGACAACACACCGGCTGCAGGAACTTGGGGTGGTTGGGGAGGGAGGGGGTATCTTGTGAGACTGGCATAACTGGAATGCCATAAGCTGCCACAGAGCTTATTCTGAAGTCTATTATGAATTCACTGGCAAGGCTCTGAAATTCAAATGGAGCCTGGCTGAGTTTTTTTTTTTTTAATCTCCAGAGAAACGCTGGTTTCAGCTTTTGTGATTGCCATATTACCAAGGAAAAGAGAGAAGAAAAACATCTGAATCATCAGGGATGTGGTGGAGGGTAAATCCACCAAAAGTAAATCAAACGCCAAAACAGTTTCCTACCTTTTCCTACCTAAAATTATAAGACATAAAATGTCATCGTCAATTAATCTGTTCTTCCCCCAATTCTTTAATGGTTAAGATGCAACTAGTCAAAATAAAATGCTGCAAAAAAAATCATATTAGAGAAGCTGAACCCAGAAAATGTTTGGATTTATTACTTTTTCAATCACTTCCCGGTAACCAATCAACACTAGATTAAATTGTTTCAGGCAGGTTAAGGTGTTCTTTGTAAATAGAAAACATGCAGAAATTAATGGACTCTTTGTTTACTTAAATGTTTTTGTTTTGTTGGCGGAAGTTGTTTTTCCAGCAGATATTTATCACTACATCATCAGTGATTTGTACAATATATCACAGGGTGATGTGGAGTATAATTAGATTTTCTCCGAATAACAGATTTGATTTAGCATTTGTTTGCGGTATGACGATTAGAGACTGGAGGGCAGTTTACCCAGCATTTCATTTACCACCATACATGAGTGATTATTGCTTGTGGCCTCACTTTGTCTTCTCCCTGCAGACTCAGTATGACGGGTTAATTTAACCAGGCGCTCTTCAGAAGTGATGGAAAACAAATTGGCCACAGGCAGAGCCCGTCTACAGCTGAATTGAATGACTCATTCGGCGATAATCTGCAACAAAGGGAGGGACGAGATGTTGACATCTCTAGGGGGGTGGACCCCCTTATTTCTGAGACCATAATAGCTTTCTGAGGCAGGGGTGGGAGGAGAGGTGGAGGGCTTCAGACGCGTCTGAATTGATTTCAGGAAAGACAGAGCAGATGCTTTTGTGTCAAATGCGTCAATTCACAAAACCTTCAGATTTGGAAAAGTCCCTGCATTTAATATCATTTGACAAAAACTTGTAATCCCACTAACAAGAGAAGACTTATCTATTGAGAAAATAAGCAATGCCAATAAATATATTGCTTGGTTAATGTGATCACAAGTTAAGATGGGTGCCAACTGCCCTCCTGAAATGATTTCAAAGATACAATCTCAGCATACTAGGAGATATTCCCAAATCCAACTGTTGCAGTGCAGATGCAAGGGAAATATTACAGTGTGAGATACTGCTTCAGCTGAAATAGTGAAATTTTCTATAGAAAGGAAACTAATTGAGAACTATTTTGATAACTGTTGAAGTCATGAGTCGAGTTTCAGATTCATAATTGTGAGGATTTGCTGCTTTCTTACATGACAATAAACTAAATATCTTTGGGTTATGGTCAAGCATTTTTGACTATTTTCTGACATTTAATACAACAAATGATAACTCAATAACATATTAAATGATCATGAAAACAGTTAGGTGTCAGGTCTGAAAACATCTAACGTGCCCTTCCAACCGTTGAGACCAAACACAGCTTTAAAAATTTGGATCTGGTGATAACTGCTTAATTAATGTGTATAAACTTAATTTTGAAAGATGCACTTAGCCCTGCCTAAAACATGTTTGGCTTCAGTACATAAACTAAGAGTCTATCATCTAGTGTGTAACTACATCACAATCTTTTTCCCCACAGTGTACAGTATATTTTCAAATGGGGCCAGGCATGACACAAGCTACACTACAGTTTATCAACAGTACTGTTGCTTTTTTTAATGCCATCTTCAATCATAAATGTGTAAATTTATAAAGCAATAGACTTGACCTAAATAAATGCCTAAAGTACCACTTTGAGCTCTGGGAACAGTTTAACTGCAGGGGGACATCTAATGCCCAGCCCTAATTAAAGAACCTGTCAAATCAGATTTCTTTCCAAAGCATAAATATATAATTATAGTTCAATGTAGGTATAGTTCATCATACTCAAACTCTCAAACTTTGCTTAACTAATTTTGTCATTGTTCTACATTCCCCACAGATCCAGTATGATTTATTTTCAACCATTAAAACCAGAAGTAGGTTTGGAGGTTTAGAAGCAGGGTCTTGATCATTTGGCATCAAGTTAAGTAAACTGGTCTCCAGATATAGCAACAGCAGCGTTTTCAGACAAATTTGTGTTAGTCTGCTTCAAAATAAAAGGTGACTTAAGGGAATTAGGGGCTTAAGACTACCTGCAAATAAAGTCAAGATGGATCATCTCTTAACCAGAAGAATCACTCTGCTGAATCATTACCAGCTCCTGGGAGAGTTCACTGGTGGAGCCTCTGACCTCCCTGCAGCAGGAGAAAGTGTGTTTCTCAATGGGTATCAATAAGATATATTATTACCATTATGCTGGTGATTAAATATTATGATAAACAGAACCTGTCGAGATGGGCAGGAGTAAGTGTCCATTAAATCACTGTAATAATATAATAAAGTATAATCTGTCTTATTCCAAGATAAAGATTATACATAAAGATTTAAATGATGAAATACACTTCTGTCCATGGAATGTAAAAACCAGTGAGATTCTTATCTGAAGATTTTTGAACTTCACTAAAACAATGACAAACTAGAGACACAAACTTGGTCTCTGTGATATTTTTCCATCAGACTTACACCTCCACGTTATCCGATTGCACCCTCTGGTGGGCAAGCTCAAGCACCGCCAAAGCATCCTCGGTACAGCCTGTTATTATACGGTTGCTGATTGGAAGCAATTCATTTCTCAGCGACTACCTACAGTAGCGTAAATACTAGAAAAATTAAAAATACATTGAAAACAATTGAAACATCAATCCAACATAACAGACTTTCTGTAGGAAACATAAAAAAGTTTTAATCCAAAGCGGATAGTTTGCCAAGGAATCAAATGTACAGGGTTAACTTATTTTACACTAAAATACAAAAACAAAAAGGTTACCACAGTTCAAACCAGATGTTATAACAGTCACAGAGGAATTCATTATGAAACTGGAAAAAGTGAGCTCAGACAAATAAGATGGGAATTTTAGTTAATCACCTCAGTGTGTAAGTTTCTCCATGTCTCATTGACTGTCACTAACAAAGAAATAAGGTGCAATTAACCATTCAGGTTTAACTTTCATCTGCATTCGTTGTTCTCAGTGTTCAGAAGAACTCAGTGACCATGTACATCAAGCAGTAACTAAATGTTTCACATTTATGTAAAGAGAAAAAAAAAAAAAAAACAGACGTGCAACACTTAGAGACAGCATTTCACATCATACAGAAATAACTGCTCTCATCTGAGTGACGGATGTAAACTCAAATCAAAAAAAATAATGTACCTTAGATGTGGCTCATAAATTTCATCCACATAAAAAGAAAATAGTTTCCCAAATAGCAATAAATACAACAGAATTCAATTTAGCTCTCCCTTAAAAACAGGTTTGTAAAACTACAGTCTGTAGAGAACTGAAAAGGATGAGAGGACCCGATGACAAAGAGAGATCCCAATTCAGTTTCAAAACTCTGCTTCTCTGCTGAGATGAATTCAGTGGGATTAATTATACATTTTTTTAAAGTTCTGTGTAAGCCATTATACAAAATCATCATCGGAATATAACAAAAAAAATACTGCAAAACAAAAAGGAGCTAAGGTCTTTTAGTGTCCTACCTTAATCACTTTCAACAAACCCCTCATTAACATCCACAGCACCTTCAAAACAGAATGCACCAATAACAGATTCCACAGCAAAATATTACAGGTTATGGGTAAGGAAATTTACCAAAACCAATTACTACAACCATGAGCATGAGACATATGTTGCACATGGCAAACTTCCCCATCATCATTTTTAAAATTTACAAAAACATATACACAGCCAATTTGGGTTCAAGCCCACGTTGCTGAGCGTCTCTCCTGTTGAGGCGTCACTGAGCAGGGCAGTGGATTCCTGTGACCTCCCTGTGGAGGAGCTGGAGAAACATGCAATTTCTCCACGAGGGACTGCACTGTTTGGGGAAACTACTACAATTCTCAGTGCTGAAAATGTGGTACTGGTGCATCCGTACCCGTTAACACAACAAATTGAGCAGACATCAGTTAAAAGGTGGGATAAGCGATTCTGAAGAAATCCAATTCTATGGCAAATACCATGATATAGCACGAACACTGAAACAGCAAGTAACTTAACTAATGTTAGCCAAGTTGTGGGCTAGCAAACTGTCAAGCATGCAAAAACGACAAGACGAACCCAGAGCCAGCACACCTGCTCCGGACAGCGAAACTCACAACTCTTCTGCTTCTGTGGATAACATCACAACAGCATGTCAAAGCTGAATGTTCGTGGGCAAGTCATTAAACGTTACCTGACACAAAAAACATGACTGGAATGGTGCTGCGTGGCAGGTTGCGGGCCACTTTGTTTTGTTTACAGAGCCAGGGATGCTCAGTTCAGCTGACACAGAACGGACAGGTAGAGAACCGTGAGGAGATATTCACTGAATTTGACAAAAGGTAATGGATTAGAATCGCATACCCCAACTTTTAGTCAAGCCATGTAAGTAAACCTGAAGGAACTGAGAACTAAATAAAATGACAATACTTAAAAAAGGGACATTAAGTAACATTTTTACTTTCTGAAAACACAAACCCAACAATGCATATGCATCTAAATTGTTTATTGATGTGGAATTTGTTTCTCTTGATTGCTGAATGAACTTTTCATGTACCAGCAATTATAGGAAACCTGTGAATTACTTAATGTCCCTTTACTCAAACACCATCCTAAAATACTTCCTTAATAGTTTGGGATGACACTCATTTCCTTTCTTACTTATATGCCAATAGCATGACCTCCTCTTAACACAGTTCCCCTAACTGATTACTGCTCATTTTAACCAGAAATTAATTCATATAAATACACTTTCGGCTTTCATTTCATCCATCAACATAACAAATCTCTCAACCACTTCTGTTAAATTCTATCCAATGACCCTTCCATTATCCAACTGAATAAAAAAAATAAATGTTTAAAAAATATTTTAAGTCCCATGAGACACTCAGGGGATGTAACATTTCATATTTGACAGGTTCACAAACAGGGATCCCAGCCACTGCTTTGTCTGTTGTAAGTAGTAATGGTGATTATTAATTAAAATCAGTTATTCATATCAGGAAAACTGACCCGCTTGCTGATCCTGTATCAACAGCCCAACACAGAGAAATTATCATCCAGTAACCAACAAGTTACAACATTCTGTACCAAAAACCAAAACATCACAGTTCCCAATAAGCCTACAAACAAACACACAGAGTAAAACATGTATACATTTTCTACACTCTACAGCAGACTGTGAGCTGAGCTTACTAGTGGTCAGATTCTGATACAGTAGCTAAGAAAACAAGTTTCAAGTGATAACTGGCACATGCATGTCTGAGCCAGTGAAGCCAAACCAAAGCAAAGACTCCGTTCACGGTTTGATTTTAATTCACATTTAGGTAGAGCCAAGCAAAAAGCCCAACATTAGAGGGTGTGTCAAAACAGATCGGCATGCAATGTGATGTGTGTTAATGTGGGAATAGTTTAGCACATTTTAAAACATGAACTTTCAGTAGATCATCTAATGCAGACTTGTGGTTTTCCCCTCGTGGTGCTGTTATATTGAGGTTATTACATAAAAAGATGGGATTCTGATTTTCAGTCATATCAACCAACTCTACATCCAGTCCAACCCTATCACATCCATTCACTGGAAACTAGATTTAATCTCAAAGCCTTGATACCAAAAAGGACTCGAAATACTATTAAAACCAGACGATTATGTGGTATAAAACTAGTAAATTAAAAGATATAAGAATGTTTTTAATGGATTCCTCACAGCAGCTCTGGTCCCACAGACTAAATGAGGCCTGTTCAATTAAAAGTGAGGCCGATCAATAATCCAATGTCTATATATTGTTGCCTAACTTGATCATGCTAAAAAATATATTATCTACATATCTTAAGTTAAGCTATAAGTTAAAATAGAACTAAAATGTATTTCTGTAAGTACAAGAGCACTTAGCTTGTGATTTTGCAAGTTATCCAACATTACATATTGAGGTCATAATTGTTCTGAATGATTCAAAGATTAATTTTATCCCCATCATCCACCTTTACATTGAAGCCATTTAACAGCAATGCTACGTGGAGGCTTTAATTAAACTGTTTGTACCAGTTTGTAAGACTCACTCACGTCTTGAATGTGCAGCAGAAAGAGTTCATGGCTTTGGTTCGGCTTTTCTGGCCAAGACTAAAGCTGCTGTATATTAGTCACAGTTAAAATAGACTTACTACGATGAAAAGACGTAGATAAACACGAGATATTATAATATTAATACTGCCCAAGTCCTGACCGAGATGAGGTGGAGGTGTTGGGTTTTACATTGAGATATCCTGAGGCGGAGAGAAACACATGGTGAGCGAGTCCTGCTGAGACATGAAAGGAGGGAGGAAAGAGAGGTGAGAGACATATGGATGGGGAGAGGCACTTATAAATAAGATAAACATTCATCCCAACATTCATGTACAGTGCAAAACTAAATGAAGTCTTGACGTCTTGTTGATGCTTGTTTGTTTTGTTGTTGTTTTTTTAAATACAGGCTATGTGTGAGCCACTGTGGATTCTGTTTTCAAGTCCAAGTTGTGTGAATTTACAAAACTACTACAGGGCAAAAACCATGTTTTTACACATTAGTTGGCATAAGATAAAATAAACTGAAAGTTTGCATGTAGCTAAATGTATAAACAGTATTTGGATCTGGGTTTCTGCAATGCTGACCAAATCAAATTTAAGACTTTTTGAGACCTTTTGTTTAATTTTAATAGCTTTTTCATGATCTTGATACCCAATAGGAACAATTACAAGAACTTTTGATCATGCACGCTTTATAAAAATAATTAGTAATATAATAATAATTAATTAATCAATAATGGATTTCCAGCTAAAAAAAAAATATAATGACCACAGTTCCTGCAAGAGAAAATATTCAGTAAATTAAACTTAAGACTTTTTAATACCATCTAAAGCAGTTTTGTGAGGGAATTGAATTCAACATTTAAGGATTTTCAAGACCTGCAGATCCCTGATTTTCTGATGTTAGAGGAAGAAGAAAAGGGGGAAGCTGTCATACCTTGGAAACCTTTTGACCATTGTCCTTTTTGAAAGTAAAGTCTGGGTTTCTGACTACCAGACCCGCCTTCCCCAACACAGGACCATTTAATGGGCTATTCACCTGTGACACACACCAACATAAAACAGTTTTTGAAAGCATGAGAAAATTGAAATTTTCCATCTGCTAATTTTGTGAGAGAGAAAAGAAAGAGTAAATTATTCAAACACAATGTCAGAGCCAAGAAAACACAGATAATACAAAGCCAACAAAAAGTGTGTAGTCACTTCAGAGAAAATATAGACTGTTTCATACTGATGTTAGACATTGCCAACCTAAGTTAAATCTACACAAAAAGGAAAAGGGAAAAAAAACAAACATAAAATAAAAGGCTCACCGACTGTTGCAGGATGACGTTCTCTTTACCGGGTTTTCTTCCTGTCCGGTTCACAATGTCAGGGGAGGTGTGTCTGACCCGCCTCTCAGCTGTCAGCTGCTCACCACGAGCTCTGCGCTGTTACCAGAGCATCAGGTGGGGAAAAAAACAAACAAAAAAAAAACCCATTGATGTTTAGCTTTAGTTAAAGCAAATGAAAAGTGGAAATAATCCAGGGTAGTTCTTCTACTTAATTTCATGTTCTACTCCTCATTGCAACTTTCCAGGATTCTTTGAGTACCTTGATGAGGCCACCAAAGGAGCGTGAACGGGGATGTTTCTTGCTGTGGGCAGGGGGGGCCTGATGGTGCTCTTGAGCAGGCGTCCCTGAGGTCGTCTGCTTGACAAACTACACACATGAAAATGACAACACCGTTTTTTATATTTAAAGACACAAACCGTGATTTGGATAGCTCTACAACAGAAGAAGCTCGGTCTCTACATCAATGTTTTCAGTTCAGCAGCTGAAATGAAAAAAAGACCCTGATATGAACCTGTCGGACGAGTTTCTTCTTCTTGGCAGAGTCCGGCATGTTGTGGTGGACGTGTCTGAAGAGCTCCTTCAGAGCTTCTTCTGTGTATTGCTGAGCTGGTGATTGGCACTGCTCCTGAGAGCTGGGGCCCAGAACAGCCGTCCTCTTCAGGGGCAACACAGTCCGAGCAGGAGAGCTGCTTGCCGCTAGCAGCTCCAGATCATCCTGAGAGAGGAGAGGGCAAGTCAGGCTGGATATGCACTTTAAATGGACACAATTTCACATGTGTGAACAGCGAGAATGACGATTAAAGATGTATTTGGCATAGATAATTACATTGTCTGCAGTCTAACTAAACAAAGTTGCTGAAGTGTTCATTCTCATTCATTGCTCCAAAATGTACTGCATGCTGTGAACACTGCATATTTTTAACTGCAGTTTAACTGTTTATTTACAGTTTTGAGGCATTAATATAAGATAAACTGCTAAGCATTTTGTTGGTGTGTTTCCATTAGAAAAACTTCTGTAACGTAAAGTCCCTCCACTAACCTTCGTCTGCAGAGCCTTGGTCCCAGTGAAGTGCACTCGGGCATAATCCCGCAGGTAGATTGGAGCCTGAACCACACACACACACACTTCTTAGAGTGTTACCAGACATATGCATACTGAATAATCAATCTAGGTTTTACGTGTCTGATTGCTTGGTCATGTGTGTGGTCAATAATCACCCTGAAGAGCTTCTGCGAGTGCTTGATGAGGAACGCCATACTGTTGTTTAGTTTCTTTAGATTGTCTTTCAGGTCACCAGCTGTCATCTGATGCAGAAGTAAGAAACAAAATTAAAGCTTCATTCAGATGTTTATTTTTTTTTTTTTTCAGACTCCCTTTAATTTAGATTCATTAACAGCTAGCAATAGTTGCGTTGCATCTGTATTTATTTTTCTTTCCTGTGCTTTATAAAGCATTTGTATTTGTCTTATTCACTGGAAAAGTAAAGTAGCATGCTTGCCGTCTGCCCCGGCAACTTTTCTGACACTACCACTGGGGGTGACAAAGTCAAGATATTTCCAGTTCTACACATAGTGGCTTTAAGGATAATGTTTACGTATGTGGCAGTTTTCAGGCAGTTTTCTTAAAGGGGGATGAATAATTCTGGTAAACAATTGTGCTGCCAAACTGATCAAAATACTATTTCATATTTGTTTTTGAACCCTTATTATGCAGTTATGAACTACAAATCTTACGTGTCTGGGCCAGAGGACGTGTGGGGCAAACATGATGGCCAGGTTGTATGCGGACATCTTGTTCTTGTCTTGCTGCTTGGCGGTGTGGTAGAGCAGGTCCAGCAGCAGTTTGAGCAGTGAGCGGTTGGCCTGAGGTAACAGCAGGAACAGAAGCTGCAGCGCCTCTATTTGACGCTCCTTGTTGGGTATTGCTGTCTTGTTGCCGTGTTCGTCAAACAAAGTCATATCTGGATGAGGGACAAGGGTGGAGGAAGTGAAGTCATGAACAGATTTACAGAAATCTTATATATATATAAGACAAACAAGACTGACAAGACAGAACCAGACAAACCGGGCTGACTGGACCTGAACAATACGTTTTCTTGTAAGCTTGTTAATACAAAAAACAGATAAGTTAATAATTTAATTTAAGTATAAAAGAATATTACTAGTAATAATGATACTGATGTGAATCATAGATTACGATTTAAGCAATTCTACATGACATTTAACATTTAAAATCTTCCTTTTCTGCTAGTACTAAAAAAGGTTTTCAAGAATACAATCTCTTCTTGACTAATGAATTTAAGGGGTTGTATTTTGTTTTTTTTTTAAATATGCAACATTTTATACTAATACATGTAGCAAACCATGCTGCTTATCTAAAAGTTTGATTAAAACATGACAGAATACTAAAAAAAAAAAGAAAAAAAAAAGAAATTACCAGCTATCTTAAGGTGTGCGTGGAAATGTCTGTGTGTGAGCAGGGGCTCAGGCAGCTCTCCCAGGAAAGTCTTGAGCAACGTGGCCACATCATTGGGGTGAAAGTCTCCAGACTCCAGGTCAACATCAGCATCGCTGTTGAGGAGCTCCTTCAGGGACTGCTGCCGAACACTGTTCCCTGGCACCCGAAACAGACCCTCCACGTGCAGGTCTAAGTGTGGAAAGGCAGGTGGGTATCAGCAAGTAAAAACTTCTGATCATTCCAAATGAGTTTGGTCTATTCATTTGTGCTCACTCGTTCTTGGAATGTGTCTTTGTTTTAAATTTAAGCTCATAAACACACAAAAAAAACTACACTATAAAATACAATCTACAGTGTTAATGGATTAACGGCAGACAAAAGGGTTGTTAATTTGTTTAAAATCATTCATGGGTGTATTATGTGTTGAAATCAAATACTTTATTAAAAGTTCTTTATCAAAACACCAGCATGCAGTTACTGCTGTTGGCATCTGAAAGTCACAGCGGTGAGGATGTGAACACAACTGTGGGGGAATCGGGGGATTTTATTTAGATGACTCACTTTTGCTGAGGTACTCGATGAGCTGGTAGATCTGGGCAACGCAGCTCTCTGTCAGTGACGTTCCAAATACAACGCCTTTGTCTGAAATGACGGTCAGTGATAAGTGATAGGATACTAAAAGCAGACATTAACACTAAAGAACAAGGCTGCTCACATCTCATCCACTAGGTTAAAGAACACATTGGTACATGAGATTAGACACAGGCAAAGAAAATTTAATATTGAATAGGTAGCCACATCTCTCGATGCGTGTTTAGTGCCAGCTGTTAAATTCCACTGTTACAAATGTGAAGTGGACCTGAAGGGAGAGACAGTCCATCAACACTGATCTTGCAGAACCTAACCGATTTGTTTTCATTTGCACTCATCCGGTCTTTTCACAACCATCACTTTCAAAACACAGAAGAAATCTACGCTGTTCATCAGAGAACATGGACAGTGAAGGGAGTAGGAATGTGACGGAAATATTTTTTTTAATGGTTTGAAAGCTCGAGTAAAGAAGTGAAGATTCTGTTACTTACTTGCCACAGCAGCTGCTAAATGACAAACTTTGGGAATATCTATTTTCCATGACGTGACTAACAGAGAGGGGCATTTGCTGTGGCTATTGCTACTATTTCTAGATGTCACCAAGTTGACGTCTCACCTTTGCGTTTGAGGAAGTTGAAAGAGCGAAAGAAGCCTCCATTTCCACCTGTTGGCGTTTTAGAGCCCTCCTCACCAAGGAGCTGTGCAAACTCTGTACCAGGAAGATCAATAAGGCGAGTGATGTTACTAAGCACCAACTCCAGGAAAATATCAGGGTTCTCATGGCGAAGTTTCTCCACAAAAAAGTCCGGGTTGAAGATGACTGGCGGTTGGCCAGCACGAGAGCCCCCCAGCGATTCCTGCTGATTGATCACCATACTGCACACTGTACCGCTGATGGGGGGAGACAGAGGAAGACTGAATACAGTTGAGGTTCTCATTGTAGGGGAGAGGTCATGATACACAACTATGCTGACAGTTGCTGCTTGTATGCTTTAAAAACAAGTGGACCATAGCAATTCTCTTTGGGATCTTTGTTGCATGCGTTTCTCCTGAAAATCAACACCATTACAATAAAAAGTGTGTACATATGATATACATACTATGTCAAATTGAACCTTTTCGTGCACGCAGTGTAATAGCCCATGCTGATATCACAACACTGTCAGGTTTATTTTCTAATGTCTGAAATGGTTGTAGTGCCCCTTTAACCTTATATTCATCCCCATTTTATGTTGTTAATTCTGAGAACACCATCTACCTCAAAAACTACCACAAAGCTGGACTTAAGTTACACTTCTTCTGACAGTTTCAGTTGAACATTATATGATAACTTAAACAAAGGGAGGATTTGTTGCAGGGCTGTTGATACTGTGTTCGTACATGTACAAAAAAAGTATATGTGTGAAGACAATTAGGAGCAATCGATTAACTTCATAATAACCAAACGTTAGCGAAGTTAACCCAGCTAAATTTAATTTAGCTAACTTAATGTGCAGTTTAACGTTACCCAAACTGACGAGCCCTCAGCTAACAGTGCTAACGTTACCCGATGCAAGTTCCCACTAACACCACTTCATTCATTTTAGAAATAAGCATTTAAATTGCTAGCACCAATGTCTGACCACCGAGCTGTAACGTTACCTAACTCACCACTTGTTGAACGTCGTTACTGTCACGTTAAGCAGCTAATGTTAGCTAACGATCGCTAAATGATGGCTGACTGCTAGATAGAGAATGACAGTCCTTGTCAATCAGTCTCACTTATTTTTCACCAGTTTAAACTCTCAATTTCAGCTTTAGCCTTATTGTTTGAGAGTAATGTTAACTCTGTGTCAATGTAAGTACCATTAATAACTCATTTTACGTCAGTCACCGTTCGTTCTTACCTTCTATTTTGCGTGTTTTCGTCGGCATCTTTCCCCGCAGCCATGTTCAGTTTGAATCCTCCGCTGTTATCCTACAGGCCCCGCCCACGTCGTCAACCATTGGTAGGTTGTCGAATATGGGCGGAACATGCAGGGTCTGATTTGCATGTCCCTCACTGTGATTGGTTGGTTTGAATTCAGTAGCTGTGTCGAGAAGAAAACAACATCTGTATGCAAAATCAAGCTGAAGAACTCTCGCTAAATAAAACTTAACAACACATTTTATCAATATTTCAGTTAAATTTTTTTTCGCACAGTATCACATACATCTCAATTTTCTTCTAAAGAGATAAAATACCCCCCCAAAATTACAAAGTACTAGGGAAAAATTTAACAGAATAACATGAGGACTAAATGTAGCACATATACCTTTTTGCTAAACAATTTTAAGTTTATTATGTGGTAAAATTTAAACACCATCTCTACATATCTGTCTCTCTCACACGCAGACATTTATACTTTTATCGTCGTTATATCATCATAAGCTTTATTATTAAACTACTAAAACTTTGCATGTTGTTAGCAGTTAATCTCTTGAGAATTGAGGAAGTACAGGTCCATGTAAAAAATCATTTCTCTGTAAGAAAATTATCTTGACATTTGTTGCACGATTTTGTTTTAATTTTGAGAATCTTTTTGAAAGATTCAGTCTTACTGGGGGCCAATCACATGGAAGCAACTCAATGCATTTAGGCATGTAGAATTGGTCAAGACAAGGCTACAGTGCCACAAGTAATCAGTCGTTACAACCAAGGTGTGCAGAATACCATCTCAAAGCGCACAACATGTCGAACCTTGAAGCAGATGGGCAACAGCAGTAGAAGACCACACCGGATGCCGTTCCTGTCAGCTAAGAACAGGAAACTGAGGCTACAATTCCCACAGGCTCACCAAAAATAGACAATAGAAGATTGGAAAAACGTTGCCTGGTCTGATGAGTCTCCATTTCAGCTGCGACATTCAGATGATAGGGTCAGAATTTTGTGTAAACATGAAAGCATGGCTCCATCCTGCCTTATATCAACGGTTCATGCTGCTGCTGGTGGTGTAATGGTGCGGGGATATTTTCTTGGCACACTTTGGGCACCTTAGTACCAAGTGAGCATCGTTTAAACGCGTCAGACTACCTGAGTGTTGTATGCCTACCATGTCCATCTCTTTATGACCACAGTGAAGCCATCTTTTGATAGCTACTTCCAGCAGGATAATGTACCATGTCACGAAGCTCAAATCATCTCAAACTGGTCTCTTGAACATGCCTTCTTCAGCTCCATCCAGTCCTCTGGCTCTGGAGAGTAGGCTATCACTGTGCAGCGGTGAATGAGCTGGGGAGGATGACATCTCAAAATATCTCTATTAATGTGAGATTTGTGTGAAACACAGCTTATTTAAAAAAAAAATCTCAACCACCTGTCAAAGCCACAGTGACTTCTATGCATAGAAAAGTTTCATGCCTGCCTGTTTATTTACTTTTGTGTCCCTTCATGAAACTTCAACATTGTCTTGTATAAATTTTGCATTCTCTGCCTTCTTTTTTTTAATCGATTTGAAAATAATAGTTACCCCTGTAGTGTAACATACACTCAGCCCATAGTAATCTAAATGAATATTCACACCTCTTCCAGATGCTCCAAAGACCTCCACTGTGTCAGTGAGTCCCTCTTGTTGAGAGAAGTTCAGTGAATCTGACCTGTAGCAGTGATGCTCACCCAACTACTGAAAATTCCTGGCACAATCAGAATCAACAGCGCTTCAAGGACCAGAAGGCATCAAAACCTGCAATTCATCGAGTGGCCACTTGAGGCTGGCTCCAAAAGGGAGTCAATCCCCAGTGACCCCCATGTTAAAATGCCCAACTTTACAGCAGAATAAAACATTTTTACAGCCTGGTACAGAAGATGGTTTTAGTGTATATTGCTAATTTTGCCCTTCATGACAACTGTGTAACTGTGCGTGTAAAGCATACAGTCTATTAGTAACACTGCTGCAGGGGCAAAAATGTGTAGAAGGTATTGGATTTTAGCTTGAGACAAATTGTTTCTGTTAATTCTTTCAGAAGATGGTTTTGTTTAATATTATTAATGAATCTGTTATTTTGTCCTCCTTTTTGTCTAAACTGGGATATTAGTAATATGAGGACTGTTTTCACAAAATCAGAAAAATGTGTTTGATGAAGCGTTTTACATTCAATGTAAAAGTCATGATTAAGATGTTAAATCAAAATTCAAAGTCCTGAACGTAGTCATCAGTGGCAGAATCCTTTGAATATTTTAAATCCTACATTGGGAGAATGAATATTATCATGTCAGCAGACTCAACTTCTGGCCTACTGGTTGATCAACATCGAATCAAACATAGATCAAAATGCCTTGCTCCCCACAATCACAACAGAGATGTGAACAATGAACAGGAACTCTATTTGAGAACCACACTACGGGTCATGACTTCCTACTTTTGTGGACACTGACTGGACGGCATCGACACAGATGTTGACCTCTGAGTTTTAAATGATTTGGAGGAAACGGCTAACTGTCTGAACACAAATCACACTAACAATAAGTATAAATCAAAGAACATGAGCTGTGAATCCTGAGTCAGCATTCACACCCAACAAATGTAATAAAGTGCAAAGACATTACATGTCTTGTGTGAAGAACACAGACTGTCAATGCTGAGTCGTGTCAACAATCTGACTGACAAGTGTGTTTCAGTTTGCGTCATACATGGACACAGATGTTGAACCCTTTAATTTTTATAAATTTGAAGGGAAGGGCTAATTGTCCGAACATGTCCATTAACTCAGAAATGGGACTGTGGTTCAAAGACAAGTGCAAAGACACCATAAGAATGGAAGAACATAAGCAGCGAATGCGTGCAGCACACGCACCCAGTAATTTATTCACTTCAACTTGGAGACAAGTGATTTACAGAAATGCATCTGATACATGTTAATTATGTAAAGAGGAAGGAAGCCAGCGCAGCTTTTTAACATTTAGCACAACTGTACCAAGCACAGAGAGACAGCCTGTCTTCAAAGACAACATTCATCATTTTTTGATTAGAAATGTTTGTTGTGACTAACTAACATACAAGATTCTCATACATGATCTACCTGCTGATGTGATTTAACAGACGTGTGGAGCAGCTATGAATTTAACAGCAGCAGCGAGTGGATTTATTGTCTTCCTTCTATCTGTACAAGGTACTGTACATCTACATTTATACTGTGAGGCCGTTAACACTCAGAGGATGGTGTTTTTAGTAAAAAGATTTGATGTGTGATATTATGCAATTCGGTGTGACCTGTAGTGAGGGGTGGGGCCGGGTAGAGGGCGCAGCCGCCTCAGGCCCACGGTTTAAAGAGGCTCACCTTGGAACAAATCTGCCTGACTGAGCATGCATTTTTGTTGAGTTTTTTAAATAAAGTTTGTTTGTGCATCTTGATTTTGGCAAAAAAGTAAACAGCAGCAGCGTGGGCACTGTGGCCTGTTTATATTGTCATTGAATAGTAGTACCCCATTAATAGGCCCCCGCTACACCTTGTTTGGGCTGATCAAACTCTGGCTCAGATGCAGAAAAAAGATGGCTGCTTTACACTGGACAAGGTGAGGCGCTAACTAAAGCTAAACTAAGCTGCCACCAAAAGCAAAGCATTATTTACAGCGGCAAGAAAAGTATGTAAACCTTTTGGAATTTCATGGTTTTCTGCATACGCAACAAGACCCAAAACACCGGAACAATTCCACAACAGAATGGCTTCAGAAAAACAAAATCCGCCTTTTGGGGCGGGGTCAACCAGTTCTTGATTATAAGGGTTCACTTACTTTTTCCACTGCCATTTTGAATGTTTAATGAGTGTGTTCTATCAAGACATGAGGGATCAGAATTTATTTTATGTGATTATTTTAGACACATTATGTTTGTCAATACACTTGACATGAAGATCAGATCATATTTTATAACAAATTTATGCAGAAAACCATGAAATTCCAAAAGGTTCAAATACTTTTTCTTGCCACTGTATTTACATTTCCCAATAATCATTTTAAATCAGCAGGGGAGGCGTATGGAAACATCTGTTTCTCTCTCTGTCTCTCTAACTTCCCCATAAGTCACCTCTGTCTGTGGTTCGCTGCTACACCAGGTGGAAATAGAATTAGTGCCAACGGTTGTATTTATAACCACAGAAAGCAAGCAGTCTAAGGGGCTTTCACACCTATCTCATTTGGTCCAGACCTTTTTTTAGTTTGATCTGAATGAAATTTACAGGTGTGAAACCACCCCCAGATCACACACTCCTCTCTGAGCTTTTTGATTAGCTACCAGGGGCAATTTGGGGTTCAGTATCTTGCTCAAGGATACTTCAACATGCAGCCTGCAGGAGCCGGGGATTGAACCATTAACCTTCCGATCAACAGGCAAGCTGCTCTACCGCCTGAGACACAGCCACCCACATCCAAAAAAGTAGTATCCTTTGGGTCCACAGATCGGAGTGCATCCATCAGCATACAACTGCGCTCCTAAAAGTGCTTCTTCATTTCCCCCCAAACTGCACTGATACAGCTGAAATAAATCCTGCATATCTCTGTTTTGTTGCTGAGATCTTCATGTACTTCCATCAACTACATACATAGCGAAGGTTGTGTTTAGTGTGCATCGTCTCTTATTTGGCACAGACTCTTAATTTCTTGGAGCAGTGTGGCTCGATCATCAAATGATCAAAAAAATCTCAGCGAAGGTAAATGTCAGAAGAAGTTCAGTTAGCTCACAAAATGCACAACTATCGAAATATTCTCTTTTTCTGATGGGTCTTGAGTTCCATTCACTTTTTTTTGTATAAACCAACTTGCCAACCTATTTTCACCATGTGCTCCGTGACCAAAGTACTCATTATCTCTATCAAACTGTTTTGAATGGCTAGAATACCCAACATTGTGTGGGATTGTCTGCGCTATCTTGGCCAACTTTCACAAAGAATACTCAAATATAGACAAAAATAATCCGCATCCATTGTCAACCATACTATC